TATATTATTCCTGACAAATCCATAAGCATACATTTTGTGATGGCATTAGAGGAAAAGCACGTGTAATTGGTAACATTTAAAATGGCTGCATTCCATTTAGGTACCCACTGACTTACTGGGACACTTGATGGAAAGAATTTATTTCACAATGCATGCTGTGAAAAATATTATTATTCCCAGCAGGACCACTTAAGAAAGTTTTTTTTCATTGGCTACTTGGCTGCTATAGTGACTTCACTTGTTGGTGTATTTAACTGTAGTAATATGTGCATGTATCCATCCATACTTTGCATATTGATTGCATTTTGGGAAACATGCATTTGTAAATCAAACAAAAGATAGTCTAACCTGTTGGAATTGCCTTGCTGCATTACAACTTATGCAACCTCACCTGTCAACAGCAGGTGTGGTTATAACTGATCATGCTATCCTCAACTGAAAAATACAACACTTATCCCCATCATTGTCATCAACCAATAATATATGATTGTTTTATACATTTCAAGCTCTTGTTTTTGTATCATTTACGTTGAGATTCTCACTTATTGCTACAAGTAATTGCAGACTGGAAAAGCATGCAGCATGTTGTTGATAGGTTGTTTAAAATAGCCCAACCTCAAAGCCAAAATGTCTAATGTTTTGTTTAACTTCTCCTTTCAGGTCTAAGAAGTGGGTTGAAAAATGCCAGAGGCAAGATCTCAAAGACAGCTCACCAGACCAGTTGTACAGATACTACAGACTCTGTGGAAAACATTTTGAAACGTCTTTGATTCATATTGTAAGACCAAACTGCAGAGGGCACTGTGACCCCAGAGTCTGCAATACTTTTAATATAATTTCCATACTTTTAATATAATTTCCAATCTTAAATAAAATGTACAATTCAATAAATACACTATATCACGTAGTGCGTAGTGAATATGTGGGTAATGTAGGTTTTAATACAAATTCAACATAAGTAATATTTTTGTTTGAGTCTTAATATTTGCTGTATATATTGAACTTTTTTGGCTTGACTTTGTTTTCCAGGATGGTCAGAGTGCAGTGTTGAAGGATGATGCCATACCAACTATCTTCGATGTGCCAAGCCAACCTCAAAATGGGCAGGTGAAGCGCAGTAAAGAGACGGTGGGTAAAAGAAATCCCAATATTTTTCAAAGCAGCCATTTTGACCATACAATAGCAGCACCCTGACTCTGTTTGACCTAAATGGAACGGAACCTTGATTAGTATCATTGGT